AAATTACCTACTATATTTTGCTGAACTCCGAGGTCCTGTGATAATACTAATCCAATGTGAATAGGTATCTCTGTGATTTGGACAGAAATGGTAGGGAGGGGGAGATCCAATATGTAATTTTGTTTTTAAAAAAATAATTTGGAAAAATATAGAACAAGGCTATTTTAAATGAAAGTGCTGCTCGCTTCGGCTTTTTTTTTCTTTTCGCTTCAGCTTTTTTTTTCTTTTCGCTTCGGCTTTTATGCTTCTACTTCCTTCACCGCAGATGGCAGCAAGACAGCGGAGACACGCACGTGATCAGCTGACTCATCCATTATATTTAGCAGCATCTTCCTTTTCAGGTAGTGGGGGGTCGCTGGTGCCATTGTCCAGCAGTCACTGTGGCAGGGGACATTCTGGACAGGTCGCAAGTCCATTTCAACCAGCAGGTCAGCGGACGTGCACAGTGACAGCTGTCCATCTGAGCTTAACGTGGCTTTTTTTTTTTTACGTCTTATTGAAACTGGCCAGTCGGACCTGCCTCCTCCTCAACAAGTAGATTAACACAATTTCATATTGTGCATTCCTTAGTTTAGCTGATTCGTTAAACCACATCAAAGCTCGAGACTGTCCCGGCCCACACATTAAACACATTATATGGACCAGCCCAGACGTGACAACACAGCGCGTTAACATCATATCCAGAAGACGTTCGTAAATTTCAGCTAAATCTTAGGCTTTGGTTATCTTGTGTGAATGCACCACATAAAAAGCAGACGTTCGGGAGTAATTTATTTATTACATGTAGTCCCTAGGTAAAACTAATCCCGTGCGAATACGGCTAAATACAACAATAGACAATCATAAAGGATGCGTAAAAATTGAGAATAACAAGTGAAAATAAAATGGTGTTTAAAATAATAATAATAATAATAATGTCATCACAATGTCAGCACTGTATGTTTCCATACAATGGCGAAATCAGTCTCTGCATTTAACCCATCCACCACCAGGTGGTGCAGTGGGCAGCTATTGAAGGCGCCCGGGGGGGCATTTTGGGGATGGGGCGTGCTGCCCAGAGACGCCACGTGATGTGCAGTGACTGGGGATCGAACCTGGGACTTTCGGGTCCCAAGCCGGCTGCCCTGCCTCTACACCATCTCGGCCCCCATAAAAGAAAAACAGCTATGTTGTAGGGCTCATGTAGAAAACTAAAAACAGAAACATGTCTGCATTGTTTTCTTTCCCAGGAACTTGACAGATGTTTGAAGCCACTTAGAGAGGTCAAGGTCGAGAGCTTCAGATATTTTTACAAGATATTCCAGGAAACAGGAGCGGAGTAGGAGAAGGCCCTTTTGCCTAGTTCAGTTCTCACTGAGGGAACACTGCAGGTAATAATGTCCTGACAGCGCACGCTGTAACTGCACTCACGCAGAGACATGTAGGAGGAGATGTATGAAGGCAGCAGACCAAGAAGTGATTTAAAGATGAAAATGTACCAGAGAGATGTCTGAAGTTAATGATGACCAGTTAACCAGTGAATACAGGGTGCAGTGGGGGGTATGGTAGTTACAGCCGGTTATGAATCTTAGCGCACCATGATAGGCAGCATCCAACATCTGCAAGATGTTTGTAGAAGTGTTCATGTAAATAATGTCACTGTAATCAATGGAGAGAAGGAAGGTCACAGTTACAAGGTGTTTCCTATCATTCAGAGTTAGACAGGATCTGTTTCTGAAAAAGAAGCCCAGTTTAACTTTCAGTTTCCTTACTAAGTTTTCGACATGAGGCTTAAAAGAGAGATGTGAGTCGACCAAGATACCCAAATATTTGTAGGGATCGACAAACACAATAGAGACACCATTTGAGGATAACATCAAAGGAAGAACTGCTGGGACCGACTTCCTGTTTAAAAAAGCATCCCTTTGGTTTTGTCAGCGTTTAGGACAAGTTTGAGGTGGAACAAATCAGACTGGATGATGTTGAAAGCAGAAAAATGAGAAACATGAAAATAAAGAAAAAAAAATTCAATCAGAAAAATGACTCAGTATGTGACTGTGCGCACACGCTGCTTTCAGAATATTTTTGAAATACTGAGTAAATGGTTGGGCTCGGCTCAAGTTTTGGCATGACTCATAAAAGTGTCATTGTGTGGAGGTGTGTTTGCCTGGAGCACCTGCAGCTCACAGTCTCAGTTGAAAAAGTGCAGGACAAACCAGAGGAAGGCCACAAATTAAATTATGAATAACAAATGTTTTTGTACGAGGTCAGTCACAAGCAAGACTTTATAAAATTGTTTGAGAAGCAAACCACAAGAAGAAGATAAAAGCCCCTCAGGGAAGAGGATTGTCTCTGTGTCCACAGGTTTAAACACTTGCTGTGGACTGTTAATGTGATCGAAAACTCTTAAACCTGGATATCAATTATTTACTTGTAGATTATAAAGCTTAGAGTTAGAGAGAACGTGTGTGTTTGTTTCAGTGGACTGTGCAGGAAATCTCTTGAGTGTCTTATGAGTTACTACATCTTCTTTGTTTTCAGAGCTTGTAGCTCAAACCGCTGCCCTTTTGCTTGACATTTCAATTTTTCATCAGAAAATGTTTTTGTTGTGAGCCGTACCGACCTCTGAAAGACATTATGGTGCGTTACATTTACCGTTCAGGCCTCGCTTTTGTGTCTCTGCTCCACGTTCTTAAAAATTCAGTTTGTCTCTACCTCCCAGAGCAGGTTTGGGCAGTTCTGCTGTTTACCTTTACAAGCTCCACCCCTCTGACTGCTACTTCCTGATCACCTTGGCCAATTAGAGGTGAGCATTTTTTTTTTTTTCCTTAGCTCATATAGGGGCCCTGCTCCTCATACTAGGTTGGATAATTTTGTCAAAGCCAGGATATAATGTCTGCTTTAAGACTGAGCAGCCAATCAGGAGCCTCCCTGACTGGAACAAAGTCCTGCTTGGTGAGTCATTTAACTCTCTTTCTTCCCTCCCCTCTTTGAAGGGTTTAATGTTACACCCACAGAAGAGCTTTACCTGTCCAGGTGAACCACAGTGTTGAAAGTGAACTTTGCTAAAGATGTTACGTAAGTATACTTTCACCATTACACGTTTTGTCTGAAGTGTTATTGAAGTTTGATTTAAATACTTTGGGAGTTTTGTTAGGAATTATTAAATTTCACAGTATGTATTATGTATGTATTTACAAAGTATATATGTATGTCACATTTCTGGTGTATTTGCATGGAAGTCATTTGCATTGAATCTCCAAATGTGTTCTCGCCTCCTGAGCTGTAATTCGACAGCATGTGTAGTTTTCTGGTAGCTGTCAGTCTGGTTTGAGCCTCTCAGACGACGTTAGAGACACTTCACATCTGTCCACAGCTGCTCACTCAGGCTGAGGTGTCCGGTCCGGCTCAGACACACCATCAATCCAGAAATCAGACAGGTGCACAAACATACACAAACTTTAGAGATTAGATTAGATTAGGTTAGATTAGATCAGTGATGGGTAAGTAGTTACTCCACTGTACTGTTGCTGTTGCTCCCATATATTCATTGTATAAAGAACAAAATGTGCTACATTTGTTTGACACAACTGTGTTTGTGTCCTTTTATCTCTTCTAACAGCACATTTGTGTTTAGTCTTTTATTTTTTTATTTTATAATTACATTTTTGTTCAAATGTTGGAAAAAGTAGACAGTTTTTTTTTTTCTTTTCCATTAACATTTGGAAAGTACAAATGTCAAGTTCTCTTCTGGCAAATGATGAATTATTTTCTCATTTTTATAGAAAAACGTTAGACTTGTGTTACAAAAAAGTACTGATTGGAGTTTTAGTTTTTTCTGTTTTGTTGCAAACACCTAAATATGGTTAAAATAGGGGTGGAAAAGTATCCTGCTGGAATTTTTCTGTATTTTGGGACATGTCTGAACACAGCAGACTGTATCGGTCTGTCTGAGCTGGATGTGACTCACGTGTTCCTCTCAGCCGCCTCACAGTTTATCAAGGCTCGCACCAAAAGGCCCAGAGTTCAAGCATTTAATGGATATGTTTCTCACGCTGAAAAGGGTTTCCGCTAAGTGTGACTCAGAGCAGTTTATGGTCTTGACAAGGGCTGCAGATAAAAATGTCAGGTAAAGCAACTCAGTGACACGTGTCAGTAACTTCGGCACAAAAACACCCTTGTAGCTAAAAACTTTCAGAGGACATTCCATTCTGAAGGTGCCCATGCAGCTTCTGTCCAAAGTTTCAACATCTCCTCACATCTTATTTTTCTTCTTCTTGTTGTTCTTCTTCTGGTTGTTATTGTTTTTCTTCTTCTTCAAGTTCTTGTTCTTCTTCTGGTTCTTGAAGTTGTTCTTTTCTTGTAAATATTTTATTTTAAGCTTGTCCTGATCACCTTTTTTAACACTGTTGTGTTAACTTATTGTATAAATAAAGTTCTGTTAAAAATCTAATCTTGTTCTTCTTGTTGCTGTTGTTGTTGTTCTTCTGGTTCTTGTTGCTGTTGTTGTTGTTCTTCTGGTTCTTGTTGATATTGTTGTTGTTCTTCTTCTTCTGGTT